TAAACCTTTGCATAAGTGTACTTTATATGGATTAGTTTTTCTTATTGTTGGGGTGCATAAGTAAGTTGCAAAAAGTATAGGGGTATCTCCTGCAATTTTCTGTCCCTTCCACCTCATAACCTTCACTGTAGAATTTGTCCTGTTCGCAAAGCTTCATCTCTTATTTTTTTCCCTTTTTTTTTGTTTTTAATAATTCTTAGGGTTTAAGATCAAACAAATTCCCCCAAATTTTCTCCCACTGTAACCAATAAAGCTCGAGGATCTTGTTCAAACGAAGCTTAAACAGGGTTTTGATGCAATTGCCGTATTGATAATTTTGTTGATCCGCAAAAATTCTGATGAAGACTGGGAATGCGTCCATCAGGGATCGGACGCAGGAGTTTTTGGGGATAGCGGAAAGGTCGAAGAAGCCGTTCGCCGCACAGAATGGGCCGAGCAGCAGCGGATCGAAGCGGGAGGAGCCTCCGCGGTCGGCAGTGGCGCTGCAGTCGGAGTTCAATCGGAGAGCGTCGAGGATTGGGTTCGGGATCTACCAGACGTCTCAGAAGCTAGCTAAGCTGGCGAAATGTGAGTGTGTATTCAGTTTAGGGCTTGATTTTCTTTTGTGTTAGAAACCGAGCAACCGATTTGGATTGGGAGCTTATGATTTCAATTTGTTGTTTCTGAGCTTGTATGGTAAATGAATTCAATTTCCGAGCAATAGCCATTGGATTGGGATATACCATACTCTGCAGAAGTCAGCTAAATAATTTGGTTGGCCGTATTATTCAGCAATGTGATCCTTTGGTCAATACAATTTCTGTAGCATGTGTGAGAGATGCTGATAACCTGGCTTGTCTACATTTATGCCTGGTTAAAGGGTGGCAATTTTCAGTGTTTTGAGTGAATTGTGTGTAAATTCCCCTGTGGTTTTGGGTATCTGAGAGAGATAGCCTGTGGCTTAGAATGCTTGCAGTTTTTATATCCCATCCCTGACATCCCAGCATTCTTTTGTTGATTTCTTTCTTAATTTATTTCTTAGGCGTCTTCCGGGATATTTGGATCCAATTGATATTCGGTTTTGGGATTATGATTTTGTGTTTGGTCGATAGTGCATATATGTTCATGTTTATATGGAGCTGAAATTTAAAAGTACGTCAGTTTTTGGGTTTGTTTTATTTATTCGGTTCTCTATCTCCAGGCTCGTTTTTTTTTTACAATTAGCCATTGTTTAATCATTGAGATCATAGTTGTATCCAGTGCTTTAGGAGATGCTAAATGTGAATTTTAGAAGACAGTGCATTTTGATCTTGCCCAGCAGTAGCAGTCGTTCCTGGTTGAATGTCCAAAACCTTCACTCTTTCAGGATCTATTGTTTGTTTATGGGAGAAATGTAGATATTGTAATCTAGTTGTCCAAACTTAATTATTTTTGCTTAAATAGCTGCAACATATGGACAAACCTGTTCTTCTTGAGGTCCAGAATGTTGTTATAATCACACTTCGGGGCCTTGTGCTTTTCTGGACAAGGTCATTGTAAGACTTCAGGGGCTTTAACTATATGTATCGATCTTTTTTGTGTACAGAAATTGGTCGGTGCATGTTCAGTCATATCAAGATTGAATATATTTTGGTTTCTGATTGTGTTCTTATTTTTATTTGTTTGCTTTCTGTGCAGTGGCGAAGAGGACATCGGTTTTTGATGACCCCACCATGGAAATCCAGGAGCTAACTGCAGTTATTAAGCAGGATATAACAGCCCTTAATTCTGCAGTGGTCGATCTCCAGCTTCTCAGCAGCTCACGTAATGAAAGTGGGCAGATGTCCACCGACACCACCTCTCATTCCACAACTGTTGTTGATGATTTGAAGAATCGACTGATGAGCACAACAAAAGAGTTCAAGGATGTCCTGACTATGCGAACTGAGGTTAAAAAGACCATTAAATCTGCTTTTGACTTTTCCACTTAGGTGATGAATTCATTCACTTATACGTTTCCATATAAGTCAATAACACTAAAATGTTTTTTCTTTCCCCTTTTTTGTCTTTTCCTTCCTTGTTAAAAAAAATAAAAAAATTATATATAAACAGAATTTGAAGGTCCATGAGAACAGGCGACAGTTGTTCTCTTCCTCAGCTTCCAAGAATCCTACGAATCCTTTCATTCGTCAGCGTCCTTTGGCAACAATGTCTTCTGCTGGAACATCATCCGCACCTCCTCTTCCGTGGGCGAACAGTAGAGATTCTCCATCCCAAATGCTCCCCAAGTAAGAGCACAAATTGAATCTTCTTTTTTCCTCTTCTTATGTCTACTTCCTTCGTTATTTTAAGTGAATGATGTTTGTTAGATATATAAATTAGGGATAACCATGGAGACTACTATTATGGTTTCCCATATTTACAGACCCCTCCCCCAGTTTTGGAAATTACAAAATACCCTGAGGTTTTATTCCATTTCGCATTTCCCCATTTCCCAAGTGAATGACAAAGGAACACACCCCTTTAAGTCTCACAGTTATCCAATAAAGTTGAGGTCAAAATCACCATTAAGTGCTTCTTTTNAATTTTTGACACGTCTCTCTGGATCCCCCTTATAAATAGTTAGTATCTCATCAAGACTCTAGATGGCCGAACACTTGAAGTAGTTCTGAAAAATATGTTATCTGTTTAGCAGGATGTAAGATTGATAGTTGAGGCAATATTATGTCAACTAAATGATTCCAGATATGATTATGTCAACTAAATGATTCCAGATATGAATGCTTACATATATATAAAAATATTTTACATTTAATTTCAAATGTGACAGGAATCAAGCGGATGGGGAATCTCAGCCATTACTACATCAGCAACGACACCAACAACAGCAAATGGTTCCGTTACAAGACAGTTACATGCAGAGCAGAGCCGAGGCTCTTCAGAACGTGGAGTCAACTATTCATGAGCTGAGCAGTATCTTTAATCAGCTAGCAACTTTAGTTTCCCAGCAAGGAGAAATCGCTATCAGGTCTAAACAAACATGTCTTTTTATATTTTTAAAATAATTAAATACTTGTTACATACCCAGCAAGATTCTGTATGTGCTACAAACCATGGTGGTCTTTTTGACCAGTTAACACCAACTATCAGAAAGTAGCAAATAAAGAAATGGAGCACGAAAATCAGGAATACGAATGCATATGGTGTAATTTTGAAGTCACATTCAAGTGGATGTGCATTGTCATAAGATCTAATTTGTATTTTCGGCAACTATGTGTTTCGACCTATTTAAACATTTGTTTTGAAGAAAAGTTCTTTATTTGCGCATATTTTATTTTATTTTATTTTTAGGATTGATGAAAACATGGATGATACACTATCGAATGTTGAGGGCGCACAGGGAGCATTGCTAAAGTATCTCAACAGCATCTCTTCGAACCGGTGGCTGATGATCAAGATCTTCTTTGTATTGATTTTCTTTCTCATGATATTCCTATTCTTTGTGGCCTGATAAAGATACGTGTATACACAGTGGCTAAGTTTAGAATCTACAAATCGATTGCGATATTCCAAATTACATCCATGTAGTATTCTCTCGTCTTTGTAAATTGCTGCCCAAGTGCCCATAAACTGGGAGGACTGAGCTCTTTTGACGAATTTCTTGTGAATTTTATCACGTGATATGATATTATTACGACAAATAGAAGATATTCACCGTAATGTGACTTGATAATGTATGATACGTGATATAATATTATCACGTGATATGATATACTTGAAAATGGAAGTTTGGGCTATTGATATATTATTGCTGACCGACTTTGGTACCGACTTTTTGTACCCAACAGTCCATATGTGACTCATTTGCAAAAGAATTGTGGATTTGATTTTTTTTTTTTTATTTTTTTTTTGTCTCTTCTTTATTTTTTTCTTCTTTCTGGTTTCAATAGACTGGGAAAGTCACTGGAAAATTGATTTTTGCAAATGAGGATAGTTTTTATTCCAAATATGACCCACAATCTAGTCAAATTTATTCATAATATTCTAAATATGCCCCAGAATTTGGTCGAAATTTTCAGAAAGATAGTTATACAAAGAGAGACACTTTTGTGGTATTACAATAATCAAATCCCTACGTCACTATTTGGGTTCTACAAGAAAATAAATTCAAAAGATTGAATTTCGTATGCCTCATATAAACATTAACATAATTATTTAATACAACCAATAGTGAATATATGAAGTATATATCTGAATATCAAGGTCTTATAATAAAATACATATAATATGAACACAAATTTTGTATGAGGTTGCTCCACAGTAATTATTTATTATTTAGTGACCTTTGGAAAATCTTGATATAAAACATAGATTAACAACATTTTATTTTCCTCGTAATTACAAATATCGGGTCCAAATTGCAAATTACCCAAACTAAAAGAACTATAAAATTGCACAAAAGCCACAAGTATATAAGCGGGCTGAGCTTATTTCTCAAGTTCACCTGCAATTCCTCGTGTTGTCGTCTCCATTGTTGAAACCCTTTACATATTCTCTATTTATACATTACATACACATCACTGTATCTATCGCCACGCTTTTAGGGCACACAAACCTCTCACACACAGATACGCATACATCAATCCTCATCAATCGGAGCCCCCCACCGCCTAATCGTATCGCTTGTTCGAAACCCTAAGCAGTTGCACTTTCAAGAACCTATTTTCTGAGTCCGTGAAGCTCTGAGGATAGGGATTGGCTTCGTGGGTTTGAAGATTCTGACAGTATTTACTTTCCCCGAGATTCGTTTTTGAGGTTTTTGTTTTCCGTGATTGAATTGAGTCATTTACTCTGTTT